GCTCCCGCTCCGAATCCTCCCCTCCCCCACGGCACCCACAGGGCGCCCCCGCGGCCAAGCCAGCCCCTCTCAGCCCCCTCCCCGGGTGGGTCGGCCCCGCTCAGCCAGGGCCGCTCCACGAGGACCCAGCTGGTCCCTAGTCCTCTGCCCCCACCGCGAGGCTCAACCCCCTGTGTTCCCCGCAAGGCCAAGCCCCTCCGCACTCAGGAGCCCCTCCCGTGTCGGCCCCTCCCCCATCACCCAAATCCTCCCCTGGCGGAGGGGCGCCCCTGAGCTGGCCCCTCTCTCCCGCCCCCTAGAGCACGCCCTCCTTCACCAAGTCCCTCATTAGTCACACAGTCCCTTGGTCACACCGCCCCCAACTTGGGTAGGCACCCCCCACCCCCCTCCCTCCGGGCCAGGCAGCTTTCTTGCCCTGGAGGCCGCTGTCACCCCGAGCTGCACTCTGGGACCCAGGGCAGGGCTGAGCCCCTAGGGGGTCTCAGGGTGGGCTGCTCTGCACGGCAGGAGGCCCCGGGCTGTGAGGCCGACTAGGGCCGTTCAAATCCCACTCCGCTCTGCAGCCTCCCTGCTCTGTGACCTTGAGCTAGTGTCTCCCACCCTGGGTGCACAAGACCCCCTCCCTACTCTCACCCTGCAGAAGATGGGGTGGTTTTCCAACAGCCCCGGGGGAGGGGCCCGGCATGGAGTGGGGGTTACCCAATGTGGGCTCCTCATCAGGGGTCAAAGGCCCCAGCAGGGCCCCTCCCCGAGGACACCCCTGCTGATGAGTCTGCAGCCCTGCGGGGGTCTGCACCCAGCGCGAGGTCCCCGGGCCAGTCGTGGTGATGTCTGCCTGCACGCCGGGGGCTTGCTCCTCAGGGTGCCCACCCAGGATGGGCAGTGACTGCAGAGCCAGCTGGCACCCCTCACCAGCCCCCCACGCAAAGTCCTCCCATGCTGAGCACTGCCATGCATGTCATATGTCACCATGCCTAGCAGTCAACCACGAGTTAGCACTGCTGGAGCTCCCGGAAGTTTAGCGGGCACGTAATTTGTGGGATACGTGCCTGCTGCAGCTTTCACCATGCATCCTTTTCTGAAAAACCTGGTACCGTTGATCATTCAGAGCGTGACTTCCCAGCCCATGCAGGCCGAGTGCTTGCCCCCTGAGCCCCTGGGGTGAGCGACCCTGCTCATCCGTCCTTTTTGAGGACTCGCGCCTCCTAAGCACCTCCTAAGGGCTCCCTCCAACTTATCACACCCTCGCCCCGCAACTCCGGGGGGCTGGGCACTGCGACCGCTCACGGTTCACAGAGAAAAACGAGTCTTGGGGACACCAAGTGACCTGCCCGCACTCCTGCCGCCAGATTCACACCATCGAGTCTTACACACACACACACACACACACACACACACACACACACACGCACACCCCTAAGGGTAGTAATTCGGTTGAGATGCAATCTTACGTCTCCTCTCCCACTGTCGACCGCCCCCAAGCCGGGGGACCCTCGGGGGTGGCTGGGAAGGAGGAAGGGGAGGGGTCTCTCCTGCTGTCTGTTCTCCAGTAATGACTATGGATGCTGGAGCCAGGCCTCCCGCCCTGCCGCCCCCAGCCAGGCTCCTCTGCTTCCAGCGTTTCGGGGAATCGCTGTGCCATGTGACGTCCCCAGGCCGCTGGATCTCTCTGAGCGCAGGAGAGGGAGAGATGATAAGGAGACAGCCTCCTGGGGGGTTCCGTGCACAGGACACCTCGGGCCTGACCGGAAGCCAGGGCGAGCAGACCGTGGTTAGGGAGCGGGGAGTTTTCTCTGTGGCCTCAGTTTTCATTTTCTGTCCCCCGGCCCGGGCTGTGCACCCCTGCCTCTCAGCGCTGCCATCCCGAATCAGCGTTGTGATTTGCAAATTGGGGTTCTTGGGCCTCCAGCGTTGGGGTCACACGTATGGGATGAAGGCAGGCGAGTGGCCTTACAATGCAGGTGCCGAGGGCCGAGGCCCTGCAAGCTGCATTTTAAAGATGCCCCCAGGATATGGTTCCATAGAATAGTGGTTAGCACGTCTGCTTTAAACGCAGAAGGTCCTGGGTTCGCATCCCAGTGGAGCCACGGTCCATGGTCTACAGCCACACCACCCTGAACGAGCCCGATGTCTGATCTCGGAAGCTAAGCTGGGTCGGGCCTGGTTAGTACTTGGATGGGAGACCACCCAGGAAGACCAGGTGCTGTAGGCATAAATAATAATAAGTAATAAAAAAAAAATAATAAATTAAATAAATAAAGATGCCCCCCCCAACACGCGATCGTTGGAGAGAGTCACCGCATCGCCCACTTTGCAGAGTGGGAAACTGAGGCTCAAGTGGCAGAGAGGTTTTCCCAGGTCACAGAGCCGGCCCGAGGGAGACCACGGCCATGCCGAGTAAGGGAGGGAGAAGCCTGTGCAGCCTAGGGTCCGAGGGGAGTATGCAGGAGGGGGAAAGACTCAGCTCCACACCTCTGCCCACCCACAATCCCCTGGGAAGGAGCCGAGGCCCCAGGTTTGGTTAGGGGAGACACCGCAGCGGGGGCTAGCTCAGAGCCTGTGTGCAGGCAGAACTGCAGTCAGCTGAACCAACTAGAAGGCTTTCCTGGGACTCAGGAACCAGGGCTCCTGTCGCCTGAGAAGCCGCTTCTCCTGCTCTCTGGGCCCGGAGCCGTCCCTTCCGGCCGGTGGCCTTCTGTGCCTGACGCTCCTCTCTGCACAGGGTCGGCCCGGGGTTCTGGCAGCTGGCACGAGCCCTCCTGGCCCGGACCCCATCCCCGGCGTGGAAGATGCCCGAGCAGAGTAATGACTACCGCGTGGTGGTGTTTGGCGCGGGCGGCGTGGGCAAGAGCTCGTTGGTGCTGCGCTTCGTGAAGGGCACGTTCCGGGACACCTACATCCCCACCATCGAGGACACCTACCGGCAGGTGATCAGCTGCGACAAGAGCGTGTGCACGCTGCAGATCACCGACACCACGGGCAGCCACCAGTTCCCGGCCATGCAGCGGCTGTCCATCTCCAAGGGCCACGCCTTCATCCTGGTCTTCTCGGTCACCAGCAAGCAGTCGCTGGAGGAGCTGGGCCCCATCTACCAGCTCATCGTGCAGATCAAGGGCAGCGTGGAGGACATCCCCGTCATGCTGGTGGGCAACAAGTGTGACGAGACGCAGCGGGAGGTGGACACCCGCGAGGCCCAGGCCGTGGCCCAGGAGTGGAAGTGCGCCTTCATGGAGACGTCCGCCAAGATGAACCACAACGTCAAGGAGCTGTTCCAGGAGCTGCTGACGCTGGAGACGCGCCGGAATATGAGCCTCGCCATCGACGGCAAGTGCTCCAGCAAGCAGAAGAGGACAGATCGCATCAAGGGCAAGTGCGCCCTCATGTGAGCCGGCGCGGTGGCCCGCCCTGCCCCTCCCAGCGCCCCCTGCAGCTGCGCTGCCTCTCCGCCCCTCCCCCACCTTTCCATCTCCTTCACCTCTCTGCCCGGACACGAGGTCCCGGAGAGCCCGGCAGGTCTGGGGCTCCCACCCGGCTCTGTCGCATCCCTCCGCCTTCACCCATCTTTGTGCCCTGCCCTCCTGCCTGTACCCCACCCCCTGCCAAAGGCAAGTGCTGGAGGTGGCCTCCCTCAATCTGCACATGGGAAAATGGGGAAGCTGCCTGTCCCCGCGGGGACCCAGGGCGCCGGTTTGCCCCATCTCTGCCCCTTTCTCTTGGGTGACCCCAGCCAGCAGGTCACCGCGACCTTGAGCGGAGGAGAAATTTGGAATGCACCTGGACCTCAGATTTTGTTTTCTCCTATTCGGTGTTTAACACACACTCCCCCAACCCGCCTCTGTCCCTCGTTACCTCTGGCCTGTGCTCCCCGCTCTGGTCTCAGAACACCCTCTCGCTTCTGTCCTCACAGCTTGGAGGGAGTCCTTGTGGGATGGGCCTCAGGCTGCCAGGCAATAACCACAGGGCCCGCAGCAGCGCCCTGTCAGCCCAGCACCCCAGCATGCAGGCAGGGGGGCCAGGACTAGTCGACGGCCACAGCACAACTCTGGGGACCGCCCGGCATGAATGTGAGGGTCTTCCCGGACTTGGCTCGTAGCAGAAATTGGCACGGCGCATCATCAGCAAGCCCTGGGTAGAAGTCTGGGGTGCAGGGGAATGTGTGGGGCTCCGTTAGGGGCAGGTGACCGGACTCACTATCAGCAGAATCTGAGGGGCTCAAGGTAGAGCCCTGCCCAGGCTGCCTCCTCCCACTGGCTGCACCCCTGAAAGGGGATACCCCAGGAAGGTGTGTGTCGTGGAGTCGGGGTGTCTCTGCCACCATGAGATCCTGAGTATTTTGTGAGTGTCTAGATAATTCTACACTCATGGGACCCCGTGGAGATGTGTCTGACAATGATGATGACCTGTGGGCTGGGGAAGGGCTGTGTTTCTGCATGTTGCTGCAGGGGGTCGATGGCTGTGTGCGTGTGTACCTGTGTGTGTGGCTGTCACCGGGGTGGTGTGTGCGTGTGACAGTCTGTGTAACGACGTGTGGGGCGTGTATAGTTGTGGGTGCTGTGCTGTCGACAGGACTGAATATTTGTGACGTTCCAACATGAGCGTGACTGTAAGTGGCTGTGCATCTAGGAGCGGGTGAAGTGATTTATCGAAGAACATCTGTGAACCTGTTTGTCCTCGCTGTGTGTGGAACGCAAAGCCTGTTTGACTCTGTAACGTGACAGCTCTCGGCCCAAAATCTGTATCCGTCAGCTATGGCTGCGTAACAAATGACCACAAACTCGGCAACTTAGGACCAAACATACTTAATCACCTCCCAGTTTCAGTCAGAAGCCCGGGAGCAGCTCATCAGGCTCCCTGCTCAGGTGTCGCAGGCTGTGGTCCCAGCGCTGCCTGGGGCACAGCCTTACCTAAAGATCGGACTGGGGAAGGACCCGCTTCCAGCCACCGGTTGTCGGCAGCGCTCCGTTCCCTGCGTTGTGGGACCGAGGGCCTCAGTTGCTCACTGGCGGTCAGTGGGAGCCACCCTCTCCCTCTGCCCCCTGCCCCGTGGGCCTCTCCTGAGGCCTCTCACAGCATTGGGTGTCATTGGTGTGAGGAAGCTGTGTGTGTATGTGCTTGTGTGTGCTTGTGCAAGCTAAGATTGACCTGTGCTTGTAGGAGAGAGAGAGGCCATGTGGCTGTCCAGTCACGTGACCACGTGGGACTGTATGGTGGTAAAAGGGATTGTTTGTGTCCGGTTTGGTGGCAGTGTGTTTTTCTTTGTTCCTGTGACTGTTCACCAAAGCTTAACGGGGCACACTGTGAGAGAGAGTGCGCGCGTGTGTACGTGTGACTGCCGGGCACGCAGACGGGCCACAGAAGAGCTCGCGGCATCCTGCCTGAGCACAGCTGAGCCCCCTCATGCTGTGGGGCGTTCCGGGGCTGCCAGCCGCTGGCGTTGCCCCTCCCCCACCCAGGAGTGGTTCCTGGGCCTGAAAGGTGCCAGAGAGGGTGGGGCTGGGCAGGGGTCTGCGCCCTTTCTCAGGGACACACCCTGATAGCACAATCTCCCTGGGGTCCCGCCCTCCAGGCTTCTCCTGCCTCAGGCTCCGCCCCTACCTGGGAACAGAGGCTTCTGCAGGCGCAGGAGGCCCAGAGCCTGCCCTGGCTGCTGGCCCGTCCTGTCTGGGCCACCCTGAGTCTGGGGACTGTGCCAGGCCATGCTTGCTGTGA